TATTACTTGAGAGTTTACTATTTTAATCTTTTCTTAAAAAATATCTAAATTGTGCAACAAGGTAAAAACTTTAATTTGTAAAATACTTACATATCATCTGGTAAAACGTAAGATAAATTATTATATGCTCGACGAACACTTTCCTGTATATTCGGCTGTTTAAAGCACATTGGCGATTATAATCTCGATCTTGATTCAGCGTAAAAATAAAAAATTGCAGGCCAACGAAGGCCAGGAGTGCTCCATAAATATCTCGTGTTATAGCACGCACTAAAGCTCAATTCCCAGTGGTCATTAAAATTAAGCGCTAATGGATTGTTTCGATTCTATCAAGAGTGACTCACGTCGCCCCTTACGATTCCTAGATGTTATATTATGCCTGCGTTTAACTCGGTCACTGTAAAAAGAAAATCGACCGCGGAGATTTAAATATCCCAGGCACAGCACGAATATTTCCGTAATTATCTTGATGGTCTTATTATGGAACAAAACCGTTTTTAAATTATGCGTTCTTAAAATACTTGAAACATCTGACGATCTTCTTATTTCTGCTTTCAAATGAGAATAATTACGCCGTGGCACTTGTGATGATTGCCATTTGCCTCTTAAATACTCGTGAAGCTGAAGATAGAAAATACATCGGTCGCAGTGACTAATTATTATTGCTATTATTATTATTATTATTACGTAAACATACGAGGGTCTCATATGTGCGTTCGGAAATTCAAAATTTATTAAAATTATGTTTTATGTTTGTTAAAAATCCTTTAATTATAAGTTAAATAATTTTTCTGAAAAGATATGCGTTAAATGTAAAAAATATTCTTTTACAAAAAAGTTACGCACAGCTCTAGACAAGAGGGTCATTATCTCGGAAAAAATGACAGAACATAAAATGTCATGGAGTTATTTTGAATTCTTTCAACAAGATCTATATGAGAAAGTTTCTACGCATCCACATAGAAAAATATCTTTCTATTATTAAGAAATGTGATTACTTAATTTACTTTCTTTCGTTTAAATATATGACACCTTTAACGAAGAAGATTTTCCTGACAATAATCTCAAAATATCTATACTTATTTCAAATTTTAGAAAAACTCATCATGATTATTAAAAAAATGGTAACGTATATTTAAAATTAAACTTTTAAACTAATCTTAAGTTAAACGTATAATTTATAAAAGTTCATAATACATAAATATTTTTTATAAATAACGTAGTTATTACGGGACACGAGAAAAAAAACATGTAGGGATATACAGTGAGTGCAAAAAGTACAAGGAAATTTTTTATTAAAAAAGTCTTATTTGTAGAAAATAAACATTAATTAGTAATTTTATACAATGAATATATTCTGTTCTAACATAAACAAACAAGCTTCGCATGTATTCCTGATTTTAGAAGCTAAATTTCTCGACTGTACAAATACTTTTAGAGCATCCAAACAATACAATTTTTAATTTCCGCTTATTTTTTATATGATATATAATTAATACTTATCTTTTTGGTGTATATAATTTTAAGAAATATATAGTCTATTTTATTCTTTATGAATAAATTGTTAATTACCCAGCAAGAAATGATCGTTAATTAAACATTGAATCGATATCGACGTTCAAATTAGTATTGAAATCATCGTATCGATATCGATTCGACATCAATTCGATGACTCATTTTTCTCGCTGAATAATATTTACTTTTTAAAACTAGTTTTAAAAAAAAATATTTTCTCTGTACGAATACTTTTTGCATTCACTGTATATATATATATGTATATGTATATATCATCTATATATGGAATATTTCACACTATCATACAATATTTTACTAGCGTATCTCAAAGGTAAAGCAAAATAAAAAATTCTAATACAAAAATATCGAGGCTATAATAGTTTTTTAATTATAATCATTTAAAGATAACAGTAATATCGCTAAAAATTTACATGATGGGTTCCGCGAAAACTTAGAAATAAACTAACTTCTTTTAATTTTCATCAAGTTTCTTTCTATATACTTCTTGTGTTAATTTTTTTACACATTTTTTTACGTAATACTCGTGTAACTAACTGATGACTAATTAACTGATCAACTGACTGATTCGTCCTCGTACCTTCCTTTCAATTTTTATATCCACTAATTGCTAGGAAGAGTCATCTTGAATAGCCGTCATTTCATCGGCATTCTTTAAGATACAAGAAATTTGCATTGATTAGAATTTTTAGCCAAAGTGTTACCTGTGCCAAATTATGATTACATCTTACTGCTAAGTGTTATTTTATTGTTATAAATCTTACTTTACTTTCGGTCATTGTCTTTCTAAAGACTACGTACATAACTTATTGATATAATTTTTATTTTTTTGTTTCTGTTTAATACACAGATTTCGTAATATTACACAGCACACGAACTAGTTTGTCATTTCTTAGCAACATGTGTAACTACGGGCCTCAACACGCGAATTTCTCGGAATGCGATATTATCGGTTTTATTGTTCAGGTATACTTCAAAAACTATTGCGGCCTCGACATATTAGGAGCCTTTCATATTAGGAGTTTTACTCTATACGTTACTTTCAAAATACGCTATTAGAATATTGTGATTGTGAAACCTGTAATATGTATGTATTCCGATATGTAAAAATTAATTTTATTAAATCGATTAATATATGTGCAAAAATAAATTGGTAAAATGCCTCGTCTATGTTACGAATTAATTGAATACAGGATTTTTATTCAATGGATTCAATTTCTATTTTCTTTGCTTGAGACTTGAACATTGCAGTGTTGCACATGAATAATTGTTTTACAATTAGATAAATACTTGAGAATTGTTTAAGAACAGGAAACGTGATGATATCGAGAGAGAACAAGGAAGTCGATACATACTTAATTAAAATTTATAATATTTATATAACTCGTAGCCACGGAATATGAGCAGTCATTCTTTTAAACATTCACTTATGAAAAATAAGTCACGTTTAATAAATACTGATTAGATCTGGTGCTAAGTGATGCTTAATGCCGCTTGCAAC